CATCTTAACATGATTCTCCCCCCCCCCATTCCAACCATGACTCAATCCCTGTATCTCAGAGCCCTGCCATTCCAAGGCTGTGCATATATCATCCTTTATCTCTGTCCCATTTAGCCCTTTCGAACATGCCCAATTGTTCTCCCATCTGCCCCGTTTCTCCACTTCCCTCTCCCTGAACTTGCTTTTTTAAAGGATCAAGCTGCTGGGAAGTTGTGGGTATTTTGAGCTTCTGCCTGCCTGCACTCACCTCCTGCTCCCGGGACTGTGCCCGCCCACTGCGGAGCTTGGAGTGCGGGGCTTGAGGTGACCCATTTGGAGGGAGTGCACTCCCAGAGAGCTAGCGGGGCCACAGGAACTGTCACAGTCCTTCACAGGGGGGAAGCGGGGTTCATTGCCACAGGGGGCATTATCGGCGTGTATATAGGGCAGGTTGGGTGCCCACGGCACAGGGAGACAGAGAGGGGCATTTTTGATGTCGTCAGACACACGCCATCTGCATGCAGCCACTAACCCTGCCCTGCACCCCCTCTACCTAAGCTAGCCCTCTGCCCAGTCTCCAAGGTTCAGGCCCGCCCATCAAGGCACAAGCCAGCCCAAGCTGAGACGCCTTGAGTTGGTTTTTAGAAGCAGTTACAAAGCAGTCTTGCTGTGCCTCTGCAGGTTAATGCGCCAGACTGCAAAGCCTTTTGAACTGCAAGGTCGGTGGTTCGAGCTCACCAGCTGCTCCTTGGAAACCCTATACAGGGTCTTTTCTTTCTTTCTTCTTTCCTTTTGTGTGTGACTAGAGACTGCCTTATTCAATCTCGTTTTTTCTGGTGCTGAATTCTTTTTTTCCATCAGTTTTGTTTGTTTGTTTGTCTTGCTTTGTTTTTCTCTCATTATTGCTTTTGTTTTTGATTTTGGTTTTGTTTTCTACCGGACTGGTGGTGTTTGGCTGTCACATAGCCTCCCCTCTGCTATCGGAGGACTCTTTGTCTCCCTACATTACATGAAAAGAGTCAGCAACTGCTGCCAAATAACCAAGCTGCAATAACACTTTATAAAACACCAAAACCCAGGCAAGAAACAATACCAGCTGCCATATAACAAGGAAACAGGCAATACCTGTGAAAGTTACTCTGAATTAAGCAATAAGAAGAGGGAAAAGGGAAGACCACATCCTGACTACATCTTCCTAGAAACAATCAGAACGCATAAAAAATTACCAAAATACATACTCAATTAAGTATTAGAGCCACAGATTAACATTAAACATGTCCAAGAAGCAAAAGCAGATGACCATATCAGCACATGTCCAGAAAAAAAGATAAAATATCTGAGACAAATGAACTAGAAGCAGATCTGGGCTCCATTCTGGAAGGAGGGCAGGCCTTGGAAATGCCTGAGAAAGAATTCAGGAAAATGATTATAAAATGTTTCAAAACACTTTACAATGACGTTGAGAAAAATAAGGAAGAAGTCAGGAAAGCACTACAGGAACAATCAAACAAGATAGATACAGCATTGGTAACAATCCAAAACCTACAGAAAGAGGTCCAAACAATCAACAACTAAATGGCAGAAATAGAAAACTC